CTATCAATATACGCATGGCCTTAATGAATGAAATTATATGTTGGCTACTATACACATATATATCGACGTTCAATGTAACTATATATAAAGCGCAACAATATAATTAACTAGCATCAATATCTACATATTATTTATATTTCATAATTAAATTGCTAATTATATCCTAAAATATAACGATTGGTGTCAATTGAATAGTGGAACCATAGTAAACTTAATTTATGGTCGCTATCAATATCTACTTATTATATATACTAGTTTAGTGATGACTATAGTTGCATAGTTATTTAAAATATAACTATAACTCACATGTAGTAATTATTTTTTGATATTGCATTATGATATTGTTATTTTTGTCATATATATATATATATATATATATATTAAGTCGTTAAATTTGTAATGGATTACAACATCAATAGTGTATATATATATATATATATTAAGTCATTAAATTTGTAATGGATTACAACATCAATAGCTTTTATGGTTATTTATATTGAATATAATTAGTTATCAATATAATTACATACAAGAACATATTTGTTTAAATGTGAGATAATTTAAATACTTAAAATTAACTAAGTAGATCACACAATTAGTTAAATTAAATTAAAATTTAAAAGTAACAATTTACTTAATATAAAAAATAATATAATAGTTAGTTGAGTCATATACTTTAATATCAAACATATTAAATTCTTATTTTAAAAATAAAATTTTATAGTTGCAAAAGAGATGAAACATGATATAGTATGAGAACCATATTAAACTCTCAATTGTTCGGATAGATAATGAGTTTTATGATAATTAATAAATTATTAGATTAGTAAAGGACCAAATTTATATGACTTTTTTGTCATCTTGATTCTATATTTAGTTACTTACACATGAATTAGATATATTCAATTCGTTCTTTATAAGTATAATTCAAACCTATGAGTAATACTTATTTTGTAAGAATTGCAATATAGTTATTTTTGTTAAGGACTTAAATATTAACCATGTTATAATATTAAGTTTATATAATCGGAAAACTTAGTTTTTGAAACTCTAAAATGAATATTAGTACTTATTTCAAAAATAAATGCTTAGATAATATTAAGTATTTATTTAAAATAATTAAGTACCATATTAAAGTCTTCTATATGAGTACTTATTTTAAAATAAGTGCTTAAATATAATAAGTTATGCTAAATTCTTATTTAAAATAATAAAGGACCTAATATACATTGAATAAAGTATGAGCTTAACAAGTCAAGAAGTTACGCGATGTCATAAGTAAGTTGTACACATAATCTATTTTTTTTCATTTTAATCTTTGTTATTCGAGAATTAATAAAATTTTCAATTATATGCACTTACTAACTTTTCTACATTGTAGGAAAAATCTAACTTTTTATATTTAAAATTTATTTTCATAAACCTTCTCTGATTTTTGGACAAACTCTTATATTGATTTTATAATCAAAAGCAAATGTTTTTTAGCTATGAACTTTTTTAACAACTAATTTATTATGGTAAATATGTATTGATATGGTAACTTCGAGCGCATGACAAAAATTATAACTAACTACGGAAGTTCATTGGCTATCTTGATTGTCGCGGTTATATCAATCTATCATAACAAATAATTGTAGCTATTAGGCCAAGATGTTCTCGGTTTCTTATAACTTGAATTTTAAAATAGTTTTTATATTCAATATTTATTTCAAATCATTATTGTGGCTAACATGTTATAGTTGCAGTAACTTCAAACACGTGACAAAAGTTTATATTTAGCTACAACATTTGATTATATCACAATAACTTTGTAGCTATTAAGTTAGTTTTTGCCATAAATTTTCATAATTGAAGCAAAAATACCTATTCAGCTACAATACTTTGTCTCTAGTAATATTTTGTGGCTAAAAGATTAATATTGCTATAGTAATTTCAGACGTGTGGCAAAAACTCACAATTAGCGACAAAATATCGTTGTAACAATAAATTTATAGCTATTAATCCAGTTATTGCCACATGCTTTTATTACTTGAGGCAAAAATATCTATTTAGCTATAACACTTTGTCAGAAGTAAGTTTTTGTGGCTATATAACTGCTATTGCTACAGTAACTTCAAATGCGTGGCCAAAAAAATACAATTAGCTACGAAATTTTATTGTAGCAATAAATTTGTAGCTATTTACGTAATTATTGCCACGACAGTTAGCAAATATAGCAAAAATGATAAATTAGCTTTGCCAATTTTATTTTATAGCTAAATATTTTTATGAAATTGTAAATAGCCACGGAATTTTAATTTTTGTGGCTATTGTTATTTATTAGCCACGATGTTCATACATGTAGCTAAGAATTTTAGCTATATATACATAATGTTGTAGTATATGTTTCTTTAAATAGTAGGGCTTTGAAGACCTTATTATACTAAAAAATATACGAAATACACAATCAAATACTAAAAATATACGAATTGCACAATCAAATACATGTATATAGATGAATTATTTCGAATTATATGGGTGTATACTACAAAAAAAAAAGGCTGGAAATACGTAAAAAGAATAAAAGAAAAGCTTTATGGGAAATAGGGTTTGAACCTTCGAGATCTTCCATGCATTGAGAAGACAAATATTAAATGGTGGGAGAGAATATTCAAAATTAACTGAAAGAGTATTATCGGTATAGAAATACGCATGAAACCCTAATTGGGGCGTAAAATTACCTAAATGACCCCATTTGGGTCAATCTGGCCAAAAACAATGTGGCCAAAAGGATTTTTCCTAAATTTAAAAGCCATATTTCTTTCGTGAAGCATTATTAGCACCACAACGATGCATGTAATAATGGTAATTATCAATCATTTCCTTTTACTTTAGTTTCGCGCTTTTGCCAACCAACGTTGATGTTAGGTGCCATGATATTGAATGTTTTTATCGTACAACTTTTTTTCGGTGCTTTACTTGATATTCCATGTTTCTTTTATCGTTGCTGCGGATGATATTATCAGTTTACTTGTCACCCATTTCTTTGACATAAAAGTATAGGTTTACGGTCTCACAAGCTCGCTCATAACAAGCATCATATGGTCTGCAACTAAAAGGAAGTGCGAACTCTTGGAGATGGATCTACTTCAAGCTCAATTCAAGATTCATTGAGTGCAAAAAGAGATTGTTGATTGTTTTGGATGATGTATGGAACGAAGATCAAGAAGAGTGGGATCTTGGCGACTTATAGCAAGTGGAGCAACAGGAAGTAGAGTCATTGTCACTACATGGAGTACCAAGGTCGCGTCAAATTCAGAGAGCAACAGGAAGTAGAGTCATTGTCACTACATGGAGTACCAAGGTCGCGTCAAATTCAGAGGAGGATCCAAGATTTAAATCCTATAGGTTCAATTTTTAAGGTTTTTAGCACTGAAACCATTATTATTTTAAGTTATGGGTTCATATCTACTATTTATGCAATTTTAATAAATTTTTACTCCGCATTGAAAGTTATGAGCTCAATTGAACCCGTCAGTAACACACTACATACGCCCCTGGTGTCAATAGTGGGAACTACTTCGCCCTATTGTCTCCAATGCTTGAGTGAAGATGATTGTTGGGTTTTGTTCAAGCAACGAGCTTTCACCGAGGAAGAAGGTCCTAGTCTGTTGGAGATTGGCAAACAGATAATCAAGAAATGTGGAGGTGTACCTTTGGCAGCAAAAACATTGGGAAGTTTGTTGCGCTTCAAAAGAGAGGAAAGCGATTGGTTGTTTGTGCAAGAGAGTGAGCTTTGGAGTCTTAAGGAATGTGACAATGGCATACTGCCAGCTCTAAGGTTGAGAGCTACTTACATTTGCCACTACACCTCAACCGATGTTTTGCATTCTGTTCATTGTATCCTAAAAATTATAAAATTCAGAAGGAAAAGATGATCCACATATGGATTGCTGAAGGGTTGATAACATGCCATGAGAGAAACAGACAAAGAGGATATCGGCAATGAGTATTTCAATGACTTGTTGTGCTTATCATTCTTCCAATAAGTCAAAAAAACTGATCATTGCAGTATACAAGATGTGCGATCTCATTCATTATCTTGGTCGAAGCGTTGGGAGTAAAGACTTCGAGATGTTGGGACATGACCTTGCCCAAGGTAACATGGCACGGGTTTGCCCAGAAACTTTGCCTTTATACATTGTGGGCAAAGGGATTGGAGAAAGCATCACTGAAATCAGTTGTCTAAACTTAAGAGGTGAATTGAGGATAAGGTGCCTGGAGAACATCAGAGACAAAGAAGAATCTACACTGGCTAATCTAAGAGCGAAGAAATATGTTGAGCTTTTAAGTCTCCAATGGGGAAGTGGGAACGAAGAGAAGATAGTGAAGCTGGCAACAGGATCTACTTCATATGAGGTTTGCAGAGAAGTTGATGGTACATCAAGATCATTACAAAGGGATAATGACATTGTCGTGGAGTGTATCCTTGAGTGTCTTCATCCACATGTAAACCTCAAAAAACTATATATCAAGGGATATCCTGGATTCAAATTTCCAGATTGGGACCTCCATAATCTAGTTCTGATTGTTTTGATCAACTGTAGAGGATGTGATACTTTACCTACCCTTGGGAAGCTTCCGTTTCTCAAAACACTTTGTCTACAAGGGATGGATGGAGTTACACATATCGGTGAAGAGTTTTGTGGAGTTGAAACCCTGAAATTCCCATCTCTGGAAGAACTAACAATCAGGGATCTCCCTGCTTAAAAGAATGGTCTTGCACAGACAAAGGAACAGCATTTCCTAGCCTGCAAAAGTTAGTTGTAGATAAATGTCCTAACCTCATCACTGCTCCAACATTTCAATCTCTTCTTTATCTGGAGCTCCGTGATTGCCACCCTAAGATCTTGGAGCCTGGAAAATATGTCTTCACTCTCCCATCTTGTAATTCATGCACTTCGGCGTTTAATGCATCTTCCAGGAGAATAATAAACCTCTGGAGACCCTGGAAATACTTTCATGCAAAAGTCTCTCGTTTCGCTTCCTTCAGAAATAGAGCATCCCATCGATCTGAAGTCACTGACCATTAGCTACTGCGAAAAACTAACCCATTTGCCAGCTGGAGTTCGAAAGCTGAAAGCTTTGGAGTACCTTGATATCAACGGGTGCCACTGCTTAGAGTCATTGCCAACAGAAGAAATTGCAGGTTTCAACTCCCTAAAGCTTGTTCATTGGGAATTGCAGCAACCTGATTTCTCTATCAAGTGGATTCCTCCATCTCACAATCTTAGAACAGCTCTCTATTGTGGGTTGCCCTCGGTCAACTTATCTGCAGATAGTTTCCAGAATCTCTCATCTCTACGGAGCTTGAATATTATATCCTGCCCTGAACTACGCCCATTACCACTTGGCCTTCAACATGTCACTACGTTGCAAAGTCTGCTAATCCATAGCAGTCCTGATCTTGCAGATCTTCCTGACTGGCTTGCTAAACTTTCTTATCTTAGATCTTTAGCAATTTCAAATTGCACATGTTTCATGTCATTGCCAGAAGGATTAAAACACCTCAATACTCTTCAGCATTTGTCAATTCAAGACTGCCCTCATCTTGAACGGGAATGGCGAAAAATAGCTCATATGCCGCGCATCTATGTTGGTTCACTTAAGTGTGGGAGATGAGTTTTGGCTCCACACTGAAGGCTGAAAGCAGCAAACATCTCTTTACTCCACATTGGGATATCAGGGTAAGCCATCATGCTTTTGCATTTCCCCCCTCTCATTTTCGGGTGCAAGTCATAAACCGCACATCTGCATTTACTTCTGTTACTGTCTTTAAAAATTTCTTTGATGCATGTAGGGTTCCAGTAAATCTACAAGTATTTATAAATGCAGTGCCAATTGTTAGAGATATAAAGTACATGACTTTGATACTGAGTTTTTTTTTATGCCAAAAAATATTTTAGTAAGTCAAATACCTAAGTTTTGTGAAATTTACTGTACTACTTGAACTAGTAGAAGTTCTAAATTATTGTTGTCCTTTAACGCTACATTAAAGAGTGGCGGTGAGTTTTTTGTTTCCAGATACAATACTGACATTAGCAGTTAATAAAGCATCAATCTTTGCGAGACAAATGCAAGAGAAAAGATTTAAGTTAATAATAATCGTTGCATACTCAGCACGAGGCATTAAAAATTTGGTGGTTTGAACTTGAGGGATATACTGTTGACACAATGGCGCTCATTTGTTGGGGTACGAAACCCTTCACCTTTAAAAACATGACCAAGATGACCCCCACAAGCAGCACAAGTTATCTCCATCCTCACCCCATCCGGATCAGGCTGAAAATCATGCAATCAACTCAAAAATGTTAAGAGCCCGATAATAAAATCATTAATGAAGAGAGAGATTAAGCAATGGAGAGGGAAACAGGAAAAGTTCTTGCACTCTTGCTTTTCGCTTTGTAATTTTAGCAATTCTAGCATTAGAAATGAGGTTGATAGAGCACTCATTTCTAACAAAGAGGTTAAGGCGCTGGAGTTATCAAAGGAGCAAAATGAGAACGCGCTGTGATACAACGATCTACAATATTTAGAAAGTAACAAAAGGATAGGGAAGTAGCATATATAATTGAGGAGAAACTCACATTGCGATTTATGGCCCCGGGGAGACCCTCATAAAAAGAAGGCCAGCCACAGGGTGAGTTGAATTTTGTTGCAGACCTATAGAGGGGAGTTCCACAACCAGCACACAGGTAGGTGCCTACACCAAAAAACTTGTTATACTCCCCTGTCCCTGGATTCCTGTGAATTAATTCTACTGTAAAAATCATCTTTAGGGATTCCAATCATACGCTTAACAGAACTATAATCATCAGCAATTCCTTTCTCTCTCTCTTTGTTAATTTTGTCTAAAGTTTTTGTTTTCTCATTCTTTCTTGCTTTTCCCTCTTTTTGCTTCTTTCAAGCATGAGTTACTTCTTCTCCTAGTAAGTGAATCCAATATTATGTCAACAAACAATACCTCCAAGCAGATAAACCAACCCAGCTTTTTTTTCTAAAACTTATCACAACAATCCACTGATAGCATAGGTAGGAGCACAAAATAAACTAATTGATGTCCTTTGTTCAATTCACTCTATTCGGGCTCATTTCTCCAATACTACATAATTTGACTATTAAGATAAAGTTATAAAATCTCCAAAACTGGAGTTCCAAATGTCACAGCATCTCGCCACAGACAAGCAAATCTCTAAACAGAAAAGAAAGACTCCTATACCAAACAACGAGCCTAATATTGCAGCAAAATCTTAGTTTTAGTCCCAACTAATTAGTACCACCTATGTAAGTAAAATCATATACTCCCTCCACAGTACACTTTAATTGATTTTTTTGACTTTTTTTATGGTCCACAATATTAGATTTTTTGCAAGTAAAGAGTCTAGGACTATTTGTTATATTTTTGGATGAACAAATTAGGGTTAATATAGTCAATTTCATTGTTAACTAATGTTAAAAGGTAAATTTGTTGTGAAAACAACTAAAATCCAATTAAAGTGGAGCAGAGGGAGTACATAATAGCAGGTAGAAGAAAAGGAGATTATACAACATACTCTGTGCCTTTCTGCCTCAGAATCCGGAATTGGTCAGGGGAGAGAATGGCGCGCCACTCCTCCTCTGACTTCTGAACGGACCCTGCTCCAGCCTTTGCTACAACTCTGAATTGGGTATTGGACAGGCCATGAATGTGGACTACTTTTTTCGGTTGGAATCTGGGGTTAAAAATCAGAGTTTTAAATGATGAGAATTTCAGAATCTGAAAGTCCATTGAGATAACTTTTTTTCCTTTTGGTATATAGGTTCCATCACCCGAGTTGTAGTACTATTATCTTGTAGTACCATATGTGGCTAAAACACCACTAGTTCGTCGAAAAAATATATATAATTGCTTATTTCTATATATTTAGAAAGGTAAGCAATTATGTTCTCTATTTATTTTTCTTTAACTTTGTTATCGAAGGTTTTAAGGAAACTTTTTCTTTTTTGGAATTTAAACAAAGCTCTTTTATCTTGACGAAGTACAAATGCCTCCTATTGTCAAAATTTATGGTCTACAACGTTGAAACTTTTTTATCATTTTGACTTTTATTCCCCTTCAGTTGCTTGACCATAACAAATTACAATTCTAAATGAAAAGGAATTAAGAAAGATAAAGAAATTGTTCTCATTCTCTGCCTTTTTATCCTTCATTCCAACCATTGTTCGTAAATGCTAGTAGTCAACTAGCAGGTAAGATTTTTACTTTTAGGACTAACCAACATTTTTTATATTGTGTAAAGGGAAAGAACGAAATGCTGCGATGGCGTAGCTTTTTATTTAAAACGTCCAAAGGGCGAGTCTACTCCATTCTTAACTAAACTGGGCAACTGTTTTCCTAATGTTGAATACAAGAAGTCCCAATTCTTTTTTGGTGTAGCCTAACATCTGTGTAGCGGGCTTTTTACTATGCAAATCTGGATAAATGGAACTCGTGGGTTCCAATACCAGATGATTCAACAAAAAAAAAAAAAAACGGTTTTTTGTTTACCAATATTTTTTAAATAAAAAAAGTTTAAAAGGGATTTGGTAATTCTCTATTCAAATTCAAACCGCTGAAGTCATGATCATCATTTGTCAACTCATGCCCCGAAAAGGAAACACTACTAGAAATTCGGTAATTACCGACCAAAAAAATCGACCAACTTTGATCGGTTATGACCCATTACCGACCAAAACGCGGCCAAATACGCTTGGTCATTATTTTGATGGTCGTTTGGTCGGTAATCCAACGTTGGTCGGTATATTAAAACGACCATCTGAAGAATTTTAATGACTTACCGACCAACTTCGGTCGGAAACATATTTTATTAATTTAATTTTACCGACCAAAGTTGGTCATTGTATTTAATTTATGTTTTTTTTATTAACTATTAAATTTAAAAAGATACCGACCAACGTTGGTCGGTAAAAGAAAATATATATTTTTTTTAAAAAAAAATTAAAATTTAACAATACCGACCAAAGTTGGTCGGTAATGTTGAATTCCGGAAATTCCTTGTTCATTAACCGACCAACTTTGGTCGGTAATTGTCAATTGTTTTTTTTTTAATGAATGCCGACTAACTTTGGTCGGTAATTTGCGGTAAAAAAAATTTTAATTAAAAATCGACCAACTTTAGTCGGTCTTCTGGGTTTAATTTTGGCAAAAAATGCCTGTTTTGGTAGCTACACCACCTGCCAGCATATACCAATACAACAACAATAGCAGAACAACAACATAACAACAACATCACAACAACAACAACAACAACAACAAATTAAAGTTCAATTGAACATAACAATCCAAAACCAAGTTAAAACTAATTACAACAAGTTCAAAATTGGTTCTATTTGTCTAGTTCAAAGTATATAAAAGTCAAGAGGTGTTTTGTACAGCATCATCATCACCGTTTGATTAACTTTCATCTACAAGACGGTATAGAGAAGGGTCTTGTGGAGGACGGGAAGAACGATTGTAAATCTAGATCTGAGGGTATGAAACCCTGGAATTTCGTACTGTTTTGATAAATGAGGTGACGGGCGTGTGGGCGTGCACCCATAGGGATTGTGACTTTGTTCGTCCCGTGGCGGCTGTATAGTTGCATATTTTAATATATTGTATATGATATCCACGTGTTTAGAAATTGGTTAGTTAACTTGGGCTGAATGCCATGTTTGGGGCCTTTGTGCCGACCTGTTTAGACCCTTAGGGGTATTTTACTACTTTCCTCACACTGTTTTGATTTGAAAGCATATCCTCAGTCATGATATTACCTATTTATTGTTGATTCGGTTTCGTTACTCCATTTTTCAATATATGAAAACTGTTTGGGCTGAGTTTCCCTGATTTTACTGAAATGCCCGAGTGGCTGTGAGGGTAATGACTGAGAGAGAGGTCGAGGGCCGGATGGTAAGGATTATATGATATATATATTTATGGATCGGGCTGCACGCCGCAGCGATACTTATATATTTATGGATAGGGCTGCACGCCGCAGCGATATATATATATATATATATGGATCGGGCTGCACACCGCAGCGATATATTGGATCGGGCTGTGCGTCGTAACGATATGACGCTTGGACTGTAGGAGCCCCTCCAGAGTCTGTACACCCCCAGTGAGCGTAGTCGACTATATATTATGGATCGGGCTGCACGCCGCAGCAGCTATTACTATTATTATTAGATATCTGTTGAGCCGGAGTGCTGAGTGTGAGTATTGATTGACGAGCAACTGAGAGGCTTGTTCGAGAGGCTATACTTATGAGTGATACCTTGCCCAAGGGGCTTGTTTATGATATTTTTCTGCTTTCACTCCTCTTTATTACTGAGCCTCTGTTGAAAAATGTTGAATAAATATTTTTAAAGGATTTTAATTGAAACTGGAGTTTTACGAGATAATTGGCTATTGAACTGCAGATTTTGACTTGATATTTCTGCTGAACTTTTCTTGATAAGTATGCATATGATTTTAAATGCTCGTCACTGCACTCAGACTTTATTTACTTTAGTTACTTACTGAGTTAGCGTACTCACGTTACTCCTTGCACCTTGTTTGCAGATCCAGGTGCCGGAGCATCAGAGTGAGAGCGTCCAGCACTCTCAGAGTCTTATCCGGAGATCGCAGGGTAGCTGCATGGCTTTCGCAGCACTGCCTTTCTCCTTCCTATCTTAGTACTTTGTATTTTCAGACTTATTATGTATTATTCAGACAGTGTTGGGTTGTACTTAGAGGCTCTTGACTACTGACACCAGTTTCGGGCTGTGTTAGTGTATTTTCGTACTGGTTTCCGCATATTTCTGTTGTTATACATTTTACATGAAAGATTTGAGATTTAATCAGTTTTAGAAAAATGATTTTATAAAAAGATCTCGATGTGGTTGGATTGGCTTGTCTAGTACTGAGATAGGCGCCACCACGATCGGGGTATTTGGGGTTCTGACAAAAACCTAAAAACTAAAAATTCAATTCATATCCTACGAGTTTAAACATAAACTAAAAGTTAGGATTATATCCTAAAAATTCAACCCATACCCTAAAAGTTCGATTCACGAGAACAAATCCTGAACCCTAGATTTTAACTAACACTGTGTTTGGATCTGTCACGACCCCAACCCCGGTCGTGATGGCGCCCAACATATTGCTAGGCAAGCCCGACCGATTATCAATCACAACCCTCCTCTTATAGAGTTCATTACCAATTAACAGAGTTTAAATACCAATTAACATAAATAGAAGTCTGAAACAGTAGATAAAAAGTGCGGAAATCATAAATAAATAAAAAACACCACTACATAGCCCACCGATCCGGTGTCACAAGTTAAGAGCCTCTATTACAATTCCGTAAACAGCCTAAAACAGAGATAGTCTAAGAATACTGAAAATAAAGAAGATAGAAGGAAAAATCGGGTCTGCGGACGCCATGCAGCTACCTCGATAACTCCGGTGAATGATGAACAGCAGGAAAGCTCTCTCTATGCCTCGGGAACACCTGGATCTGCACACAAGGTGCAGGGAGTAATGTGAGTACTCCGACCCAGTGAGTAATAATCATAAATAATGGCTGACAGTAAGAAATCACGTAAAGGCACTAAGCAGTTCTATATCAAGCAGCAAATCAACTCAAAGCAGCAAAATAGTGAATAAGTCAAGTGAAATATCCTTAGATCAGGTAAGACAGGTAGTTTATCAGGTATTTAACAAGTATAATTCCATTCCTCGTACACAGTAACCCTATATCTCTCACAATAACCAAAATCAAAATAACCGCTGCAGCGTGCAGCCCGATCCATACATCGCTGTGGCGCACAGCCCGATCCATATAAATAGTCGACTGCGCTCACTGGGGGTGTGCAGACTCCGGGAGAGGCTCCTACAGCCCAAGCGCTATATTTCTGCGGCGCGCAGCCCGATCCACATAAATATTTGCTGCGGCGTGCAGCCCGATCCACATAAACATTTGCTGCGGCGTGCAACCCGATCAATATAAGTATTTGCTGCGGCGTGCAGCCCGATCCATAATATATATAATATCCTCACTGTTGGGTTCTCAACCCCTCTCAGTCATTTTACTCACAGCCTCTCGGGCACATTAATATAAGGTAGGGATCTCAGCCCACATATTTCCCTCGTTTAGGATTAGCATTGATATAACCGGTTCACATTGTTTAGACAAATAGAAACATGACTGAGGATGTGATTTTTAATAAGTAAAGTGAGGAAAATCAGTCATAATGCCCCTAAGGGTTCTACAAGTCGGCACAAGGCCCCAAACATGGCAGCTAGCCCAAATCATAATGATAATGATTAAATCTCAGTCAAAAATACGGTGAAATCATCAATCGGGATGGACCAAGTCACAATCCCCAGTAGTAATGGACTCCACGCTCATCATACTGCGTGTGTCTCACCTCAACATAGCACTACGTTGTGCAAATCCGGGGTTGCAAACCCTCAGGACACCATTTACAATCATTACTCACCTCAAACCGGCCAAAGCTCTAGCTCACTATGCCCTTGCCTCTCAAATCGGCCTCCTCGTGCGTCGAATCTGACCAAAACCAGAGCGAATACGTCACAATATGCTAAGGGAACAAAGCCCAAGCGAAAATAATCAAAAATATATCAAAATCTCGAAATTAGCAAAACCCGAGCCCCGGGCCCACTTCTCGAAACTTAGAAATTTTCACATCAACAGGTTCCTTATCTCGCCACAAGTCCATACATATCAAAAACTCTCAAATCCGACCTCAAATGGCCCTTCAAATCCCAATTTAAAATTTCAAAATCCCAAGCCCTAGTTCTTCCCTTTTTAGCTAAATTTCCATGAATTTCTAGGTTAATTTCACAATATAATCACGTTTTTGGTTCATAAAACTTACCTCCAATCAATCCTCTTCGAAT